TGGAGACCCACACCAGCTCTTCTCTCATGGGGGGAGTGGCAGAAGCCTCTCACCTCTTCGCTCTACAAGCCGGAAGGAGGTGCAAGGAAGCCAGTCTGTACCTGTGCAGGCAGGGGGGGCTCTCCCGAGTCCAGGCAAAGGTGCCCTCGCGCACACTGATGCAATCCTCCCCGGCAGCTGCAAGGCACACAAGGCCAGTTATGCCACATGCTCCTGACGGGCGCCCACATCCCGGAATCCCCCCGCTCCCGGCACTGCCCCAGAAGGAAGTAGCAGATCTCGCTACTGAGAACTGTCCGGTTACATACTGGCTTGTGTGTCACCCTGGGGTGGTCACGTCCCCCACCGCCCAATCAGATGATTACTGTATAATTCAGGGGATTAGCCACATGCTTATGTTTATAAAGAATTTTAGGGGAGGGGCCTCCCTGGTGGCTTGGGGGTTAAGTCTCAGCACTATCACTACCACTGCCTAAATTCGATCTCCGGCTAGGGAGCTGAACCACAGGGCACAGCAGACCTCTCCTGTCTCCCTGTTACTCCCCTCAGAGGTAGATTTCAGTAGATCTACCTGTTCTGCTCCCCACTCTGTCTCTGGGGAATCCTCTCACCTCACGCACTTCTGGCCTGAGTCCCAGTTCCTGTATGCATAAATAAATACATCATTTTTTCTTTCTTCTTCTTTTTTTTTTTTTACAGAGTCTTAAAAACTCTCAAGCCCTGGCTCACATCACTAAGTCAGAATCTCCTCTGGCTGAGTCCCGAGCAGCTACCCCTAATCAGCAGTGCACACTGGGCTGGGTGGTCTCTAGGGGAAGTTTGCCAGATAAAATGCAGCATGCCAAGTTAGATTTGAATTTCAGGTCAATAATAAATAATGTTTAGTATAAGTCTATTCCCAGCATCACATGGGATATACTTGTACTAAATAATATTCTCTGGGAATATTAATTAATCTGCAATTCCAATTTACTTAGGAACCCTCTGTGTTTTTATTTGTGATGTGACCACCCTACTTTTTCTTTAAAGCTTAACTTATTGATGCATGCAAGAACTAGGGTACAGACCAGAGGTGTGGAGGGGTGAGATGATTCCCTAGAGACAGAGTGGGGAGCAGAACAGGCCCATCTCCTGAAATCCACTGCTGAGGGGAGCAGCAGGGAGACAGGAGAGGTCTGCTGCGCCCATGGGTCACTCCCTGGCTCAGGATTAAACTCGTGCTGCAGTGGCTGCATGCTTCAGAGTGCTGCATTTTAATGCCTTATGCCACCAAGGAGGGTCCTGACCACCCTATTTTTGTGATTTTATTGTGATCCAGTTTTTATTGTGATCCCAGGACTGGCTGTTTTACCTGGGTGGGCTGGTTCTTCTTTAACTGCGGGGTGTGAGTGATTGGTCAAAAGCGGCACCCGAGTTTCTTTCTGATTAACACACTGATGCAGGATCTACAGAGTCACCCCCATCTGGCAGTGCCCCCAGCGGGGACCCTGGCTTTCTGCTGGCTCCCAGCTCCCTTCACTCATCCCTCCTCCTGTCCCAGTACTCACGGCATCTGGAGGGACTTGCATGTACAGCCTCAGGATCAACTTCTTCCGAGCAGAGGAAGGTGACCAGGCGGTCGATGGACACCCGAGCCTGGAGAAACCAAAGCCCAGGTCACGGGCTCCCGCCAGCACCCAGATCCAGGCTCGGGGTGTCAGTGCCTCATCGTGCATGGGAACAGCTTCCCGTCTGCTGGGGCCTGCACATCTGTAAGGCACTGGTGCCAAGCTTTCCAGGTGTCAGATAAGGAAGCACGTAGAGGGGTGAACTCCCACAACCCCCCCGCTCATCAGCGAAATTGGAAGGATCCAACTGTGTTCTGCAGGCAGGACTCAGGTGGAAGCTGCCTCTTCCAGTAGCGTCATCGTCATCGGAGTGAGGCCAGACTCGGCCACTGGGGCGCCTCACTCCCAGCCCGAGAGGCGGCCATTTACATAATGGCAGCTTGGTCAGGTGGTCTCTGGTCTTATGCCATTTCATCAAGAAGGCAAAATGTGAGTAGATACAATAGAGGGAGAGAATGTAAGTTGTTTAGTGTAAAAGGGAAACTGGTGTGGATTCTTGCGTGTGGAATCAGGGGGCCAGTGGGCTGTGTGTTTGGTGGGGGTTTGGGTAGCCTCTCCCACTCCGGACAGAGCCTGCCCACATTTCTGAGGCCGCCTGCGGCTGCTCTGGCCTCCCGCTGCTCCTTCCTCACCACGTCTTTGCCTCTTTCCCACCACGCCCCTCTCCTTCCTCCCCTACTGACTGGGTGGGAAGAGTCTGGGCCCAGCGCGCCGCACCCCTGCAAGTCTCCTCCAAGACAGCCTCTCCTCTCCTCACCTGGATGATGGAATGGATGGAAAAGGGCAGAAAAGCCTGGGCCTTGTTGAGGATGTTGAGGACAGTGAGGGTGACAAAGGCTTTCTCGGCATCCATGGCGTTCTCCTCGGCCACCAGCGTGTGGATGGCAAACACAACCAGTGCCACCTGGGGAGACGCAGGGGTGAGCCTGAGGGCTGAGGGAGGTGGTGACTCTCCAGGGCCCCGTGGCCCAGCCCACCCTTCACCCAGAGCTCACCCCAGTTCTGCTACAAGGGAAGGAGTGTGTGTGTGTGTGTGTGTGTGTGTGCGGCCCTCCTCTAGGAATCAGAAATTCCGGGTTCTCAACATTAGGGGACACTATGGTTTTCCATCCTGGTAGCATTTCCAGATGTGTGTGGGCCTCGTGGTTCTAGACTCCCTTGGAAGATGACTGAAGTTGCAGGATCCGCAGCACGTGGGTAGCAGGGGCTCTGTGCTAGATGTCACTAGGCAGCGTGGTTCTGGCCTAGGTGGTGGTGGTGTTTTGGGTCTAGGTGTCATTGGTGTCGTGGTCACTCAGTGTAATGATCATGCAGTGTGAGGGTCATGTGGTAGAGTGGTGATCCGGGCACCCTTTTTTGGGGAACCCCGCAGGTTCTAAGCTGTGGTACTGGGTGTTTTTGAGTGTTGATTGTGTCGGTGATGTCGGGTGTCATAGCAGATGGCCCTGCGGTTCTAGATCTTTCCAGAAAGGATGGCTGAAGACTCCTTTGTCACCAGCCTTGAATGTTTAATGAAGAGCTTGGGTTTTATTCTGGAAGCACTGGTGGGTGATTGTAGGTTTGTTTGTGCTATGATTTAAGAGGGTTAATCCCATAGCATTCTGTGGAATAAGTTGGTGGAGGACAGGACAGGCACTGAGTTGGTGGGTGCTGCAGTAGGGTAGACTTAGGATTCTACCTAGGCAGCTCCCGCAGCTGTCACCTCCCTTCCTGACACCTGTCACCTCCCTCCCTGACAACTGTGACAACTGTGGTTCCAGATGTCTGGAACTTTTAGCAAAACCACAGTCACACCTTAGTGGCTGCTGACATGTTCAGAGAATGATCTGATTCACTACCACTGCAGAAAACAGGACCTCGAGAGAGCAGGAAGCAGGTGCAGTGTGCAATGATGGGTTCTGGAATCTGCAGGGTTCATCACCCCCGCATCCCCTCCCAGCCCATGTTCTCTGGGAAACCAGGTGACCTCACCAGAAATGTGGACAGCTGGAAGGACACCAGAGACACAGAGAAGAGGAGGCCAGAAGTCCTCAGTGCCCCCAGCTCCTGGTTCCGGATGCGTAGGACTCTTTCCAGAAAGGCTTCCTCCCAGCCATGGCACTTGACCATCTTCACATTCCTGAGGATGGAGCTGGTGAGTCGTGCTCGAGAGTCCTTCTGCCTCATCTGCTCTTCCTGGGACAAGAAGGAAAAAGAGGGGGAGAAGACCAGGACAAGGCTAGAATTCTTCTGTGCAACTTCTCTGCCCGTCCACAAATCCTGTGGATTCTACTTCCAGACCAGGCATCTGCCCCCCCAGTCTTGGTCCAAACCACCATCACCTTGCACCTGGCCCACCTGCAGGTGTGCCCAAAGCCCAGGGAATAGAGGTAGTGCCCTGTTCCAGGATGGTGCTACCAGGAAGGCTTCTCGGAGCTGGGGGTAATAACTGAGCTACTTCTAAGAGGGTGAAGAGCTGCTCAGTATGCAGAGAATGGGTGGGTGCAGGCAAGTAGGGGAGGCCAGAGGGAACAGCACGTCTGGGAGGACACCCAGCATGGTTAGGAAAAGGTACAGGACTAAGCGGGGAGGCGGCTGGGCCACACTGGGGCCTGAAGCTCAAGCAGAGGAGTTTGGGGACCACTGTGTTTCTCCCTGGTGTGGCTGTGTGGAAAATGTCTTCGCAGAGGCTGGAGAAGCAATGTTTTTAAGATCGATCTATCTGTCTAAGTTCCCTCTTTTCCCCACCTTCCTTCCCTACCTCCTTTCTTAGTTCATTCTATACAGGTTTTCCCTGCAATCCAAACACAGAGCATTCCTGTGAAACATTCTGTAAGCTGAAAAGGCACAAAGCAAAAAAGCGATCACCATTAATTTATATGGAGAAAAACTTGGGCATTTGCAGACCCTCAAAATAACTTACAAATCATGCTAAATAACACATACAACCTAAAGCCACACTCATGCACAGTAAGGACAGGAAAGCCGCGAGAGACACGGCCTGTCTAAAGTAGTCCAGGGAAGGGATCGTTCTTACAGCTTCTAGAAAGGCTGCTGCAAAACCAGTGCTAAATGACCCACTAGTGACCAAAGAGCCAGATAAGGAAGATTTGGACATCTGGACCAATTGTGTCTCAACAGTGCAGCCTTTAAAAACCAGGACAGTGGTCACCCCAGCATTTCTCTCCTAGCATCAACATCTGATCAAGATCCACTGAAAGATGGAAACCTAGAGAGGGGACCCAGAAGCCCCCGCCAAGATGCTCTTGCCATCAGTGACTCACTCTTCCTGACAGCACTCCATGGTATGGCGATTTCCCAGAGAAACTTTGTCATACCGGCGGGCTCAGTGGGATCAGTCCCAAAAGGCTGAGCACCTACATACAGGAATAGTGAGGTTTCCTGTGAGGGACCTGTGGTCTCATCCATCGCAGCATAAGCATTCTTTATAGTTAGGGAAGGGGTCAAAGTACCCATAGCTACTACTGTGGACAAGCAGCCCGCTGAGGGAACTTTCTACTCCAGCAAGGCAGCAGAATCCAAGCAACAGACACCCCCAAGCAGCAGGCCCCCGGGAAGTAGCAGGCCCTAAGATCAGGAAGGGAAGCAGGGAAGCTTCCTGCTTCATCCGCAGCAAGGCGAGGAAGCTGAATTCAAACTGGTGCTTGCCAAAACAGTGCTCATAGAGTAAGATCTGTCGGCTGCTTCCCAGCTGTCAATCCCCACTTTGAATTCCTATTCAGCTTCTTGCCTAACTCCTGTTGAGACTTTTATTCCAGTCAGTAGGATGTAGGGGGGTGAACTTGTGAAAAGCAGGGGGCTACTTGTATTTATGGAGCTGCTTCTGCTGTTCACTAAGATGGGTGTGTGGGGGGGCAAAGCCACCCCCCCCCGCCCCACCTCCCTCTCCGCACCCAAGGGGGCTCCCAGGGCCCATGGGCGGGCTCCCTCTGCACTTCCTGCTTGGCCTGTCTCCCAGATGCCAAACCTGATGGTGGTTCCTCTTCTTGGTGATGAAGAAGTTCAGAGGGAGGAGACTCAGGAAGACAGCAACGGCGGTGAGGGCAGAGGGCCCTAGAAGCTGGAGACAGAGGGGGCAGGGTGCTGTGAGACACCTCCCGGAACCCAGCTGTGAACCCCTGGGGGCTTTGGGCAGAACAGGAGGGAGGTCCAGGCTTGGGGAGCTGAAGTCCCTCTGGCTGGCTGCCTACGACATACCTCACATA